CATTTAAGGCCAATTCAGTAACACAAGTCACCAATGTTCCTAAAAGTTCAATTGAATACATACTTAACACTGCTGAGTAAATCTGACATGGTTAGTTGCTTTACAGCTGATGTTTCCTCTTTCCATACGGCAAGAAAATTTATTTGATTCATAATGTTGTTTTTTGGAAATAAATAAAAACTTATTCCCGAATCTCCGTACCTAAGTGTTACATTGAGGAATGAAATGATATTTTGTGTTTCTGCTTTTATTTAAAACAGACTGCCTCGTTGGCCGAGTGGGCGCAAATGCGACTGCTGGGCAAGAGGTATCGGGTTCGATTTCCTGGTCGGGCAAAGTATTACTGGGTTTTTAAAAATCTCAATAGTAGCACGGAGTCTGGAAATATGCCCGGTATATGGCAATAGGCTCACCTCCTATTACATGGGACTCATAACATAAATAGTGAAAAACATTGTACAGTGGCATTTTAGTGCCGTAATGTGCACCTCTGCCTACTCCTTCGGGGATAAAAGGCGTGATGTTATGTTTATGTATTACTGTATCTAATCGTTATCCATTTGATTATGTTTTAACGTATTAAACCTTAACTTGAAAGCAGAATGTCGTTCTTAGACAACTTCTAAATTTCGCCGGATTTCGCCGCTTTCGGATAATCTTTGCATCACCAATAAATATTAAATAATGATAACCAGTGACTTGAGGAGATAAATTAATGGGAAAAGTTATTTTATTCTTTTTAACACATTTAAATAAAAGCTTGCTACAAATTTATTTATTTTTTTACTTTCAAGAATCTTCAATCAATAGTTTATCCGTGCGTAGGTATATTGCTGCACGGTACTGCACAAATCGTTCGCAAAGAAATCGTCTAATGCGCAAAACCAATGGACCACCAAATGACGAGATAAAAACCGAGGATGGCAGCTTCATTTCGTCGAAATAGACGCCAAACACCCACCTATTACAAATATAAAAAAGTCGAAGATTCTGAGAGAACACGAGAAGTTTTAAGTAGGTACAGTCGGACTGTTATACACCTTAACACGGCAACAAATTATCGGTTCAACTTAAGACGGTACACTGGTCCCAGATATCAGCCTGTACGAGATTAGGATGGCTCTCATCTCTCAAACAGCTGAAAAACAATAAGGCACCGGGTGATCAAGAAATCACGACTCACGGCTAAACTTCTGCGAGCGAGTGCACCTACTAAGATTTCGTCATACATTCAGTCAAAAAGGTATCGGGAATAGATGATTTGTTTATGGTTCCATCCATTGGATTGGCACAACTGTTTTCCATTTTGGCACGGAGTTTGAATTGCATCTGTTATTTATATTAAATACAGTGCTGGTTTTAGATATATCATATATAGTGTGTATTGCGAATTTCATAAATATAGATTTCACAATTTAGATTGGTACCTACACCAATCTCCTTGATCCGTTCTAACATATAGTACCTTAGTAGGTATCAATGTCATGCTCTAGGTGTACCCAGTTCTTTTAGTGAAGGAGCATGATAAAGGAGTATGGTGGTTTTCTTCTTTAATAAGGGTGGGAACTCCTTACTGACTACATTAGACCTCATTAGACTTTCTGTCTGAGCCACGTTTAAGATTTTGTGTTAGAGGATTATCACGAACCGTCTCGAACGCAGATTTGATGACTTCCAGCCTTCCGCACGAGGGTTCCGTAAAGGTTTTGACATCACGTACTCACGCTTTGCTAGATTATACAAAAAACTGAGGAATATAATCAGCCCATAATGAACACATAATGTGTTTTACATTTGTGGACTTTAAGAAACCCTTCGATTTAATAAAAAATTGGGTGGTGCTGCAGTCTCTCCACTGGCAGCACTCTATATGCCTTTGACTGCTAATAGAAAAATGCTGAAGGAAAATCCTCCGCTATCGTCAGTCACCGGTGACCCCCATGGCGTTTATGATGATATTGACTATCTATTACATTGAAGTTCAGTTCAGTGTTTCGGTGTTTTTATTATTGTATCTACTGTAGATCCTTGCTTGCAGGGAAATAATAGAAAATAAAGAGGTCGTCTGAACAATCCAACTCAGTTGTATATACCTAATAAAATAAAATAAAAATAATATGATAACTAGCTGTTGCCCGCGACTTCGTCCGCGTAGATTAATGACTTCTGTCATAATTAATCAAAATCAATTCAGTGCCCAAGTAAGATTTACCTATTTTAAAATGATTTATCGTAGTATCAATAAATAAATAATCCCGCAGGGATCTTACCAGTACAGTGCCCGATCATTTAAGGTTTGAGTAATAAAAACTATTGTATCGACTATTGTTGTACCGAATCTCTCTAAAATAAGTTCAGTGGTTAAGAGTTAGAGAGTCCTGGGGCATTGACGCATAATTCCCGTTCCCGTGGGACATCTGTGATAAAAACTATCAAACGTTACCCAGGTCCCAAATCATCGTTTTACCGAATGTAATTCAAAAAGATTCAATGATTCTAAATTCAATGGCTAAGAAGATTTCAAACTCTCATTCCCTATTTTATCCCCTTAGGGGTGGAATTCATCAGAAATATAAAAAATATTACCACAGTATCATAAATAACATGGTCTAAAATTATTCACGACCAAAATGTAGGAAACAGCCTGTATATTACAATTTTTTAAGTTGACGAGGACCGGTTACATATTTAGAACTAATACAAGACATAATGCCAATGTAGCATATTGTGGGGTAGAATGCAAAAGTTTAACATTAGCTAGTGCCGTGTGTGTCGGTATCGGTTTCTTTGAGTACTTTGTTTCTTTGCAATTTTAATGAGTACGTTTATGCTTTGCTCATGGATGTTTACTGTTACTCGTAAAATATGTAATGTATCTAAAATCTTTGTCACTTATTAGAGGTATATTAACATAATTGTCATACTGAATGGGTTTATAAATTTATAACATAAAACTGCGAATGTGAGTACCAATACAAACCAGCTGTGGTTTAATGGTGCAAAAAATTTTTAAACTGTACTGAAGTCTGAAATGAAATAATAAATAAAATAAAAAATAAAAATAAATAATATAATTTATCAAAATCCTTTCTAAGGAGATACCTATGTCATAGTAACTTTATGCATGCAAAGTCTCAGCCCGATCGGTTAAAACTGGCAAAGTATCATACAAACTTTCACCCCCTATTTTACCCACTTTGGGGTGAGAATGATCAAAATCCTTTTTTAGCGGATGCCTATGTGATAACATCTATCTGCATGTCAAATTTTAATCCGATCGATTTAAAACTGACAAAGTCTCATACAACCTTTCATCCCTTGGGGGTGGAAATTATCAAAATCCTTTCACAGCAGATGCCTACGTCATAACATCTATCTGCATGCCAAATTTCAACCCAATCGGTTAAAAACTGACAAAGTTTCATACAAAGTTTCATTCCCTTTTTACCCCCTTGGGGATGGAAATTATCAAAATCCTTTCTTAGCGGATGCCTACGTCATAACATCTATCTGTATGCCAAATTTTAGCCCAATCTGTCCAGCGGTTTGGGCTGTGCGTTGATAGATCACTATGCCAGTCAGTCAGTCAGTCAATCACCTTTGAATTATATATGTATATATATAAGAAAGATATATGTATATTATAGTAACAATGGACAGGCCACATTGTTCGAAGGACTGACAGTCGATGGGCCAGGAAAGCACTCAAGTGGCGACCGCGGAGCGGACGACGTACCGTGGCAGGCCTCCAGCTAGGTGGATCGCCATATTATGACATCGTCAGATTCGCGGGAGCTAATTAATGGATGCAAGTGGGGAGTTGCCATTCCGTCATTCTAAAATTACATGGTGGATTAAGTAAGATGGATGACTATTTATTATGAGTTTTGGCTAGGGATTGTAGATTAAACTGACAAACTGTATCAGTTTAAACAAACTTGCATCAGTTTAATATAAACTTCTAATACATGTCTTGATAAAAAAAACTAATTTAACTTTTTAAGTTATTTTTATTGTTTAAGAATTATTAACATTAATCTATCTACAATATGGCAGTGTTGCATAAAACAATTCTGTTATTCACGTTTTTGGCAGATACTTAAAACTATTTAAAATTTATACATATTATATGATGTATAAAAAGATACATACATTAAATTATATTCCACTTGTGAAATATAGGTAAGTAAATATATTATTTAAACATTGTTAATATTTTTTGTTTCAGGTTGTGGCGAATACCTATATAACAATCTAACAGAAATCTAAATAAGTAGATCATTACGGTGCTAAATAGGTATAACTATAATTTCTAATTATTTTTATTACATATTTATAATTCTTTTTATTAAGTATATACAATTAAGCAATTCTAAATTATCACAAATCAAGTGTAACTGTGCAGGTGTGAGGTTTCCAAATTTCTCTTTGCATGATGATTTCACAATGTTCAGCAATTTAGGAAAAAGTAAAATTAATGAAAGTACGGTAAAATAAAAATTAAAAACTGTGCCTGTGGTGGCTGTTATCTCACTGTTTCACACCACAATGGCTTTGACGTGATGCACTCGTTATCTTTATATATAATAATAATAATGCGAGATACAGAAATGTCAGTGCATACGAAACAATTAAGCACTAAGAGTATTCCAATATAAAATATAGTGCTTATTTTGTAGACAGAAAATTAACAGAATTAAGGAATTTAAGTAACAGTGCAATAACATACTTTGTAAGACAATATCTTTAAAATTATTAAATAAAATACCTTACGTTAAATTGCTTTGGTGTTATGTTGATAGTCTGAAACTCAGTTTTAACTCCGTGAAAAATGGTAAATTAATAGACACCTAATGTTTTCAGCCTCTTCACACCTTATCTATATTAATTAAAATGAATTGTCGTATGAGAAATCGCATTTAGATCTAAGTTGACGAGGTTTTTCATAATTACTATATAAAATCTGGTTAGCGGCGTCTGCTTAAAGTATTTTCATTACACTATTTGGTGTTTTTCATGCAAACTGCACAACGAGCTACACGTTGGAGTAGATTTCCTGACTTTAATGTTTCTCGTCTCGGCATGGCAAACTGTTCTGAGTCGTTGATGGTAGTTAACCAAAAACTAAGTTTATTGGCAAACTTGTGGCATGTACCGCCTTCTCCGTTACATTCTATGAACGGTACAGTTCGGAAGCTTTCCAAACATGATCCCGGACTCTCCAAAGCCTGACCTCCACCTTGGCCACCCGCACCCGTGTGCTGTAATTTTAAAATAACGTTTATAACGTCATACTTTTTATTTCACACATTATGTTAAAATTAAATATATATAGGTAATATGTAAATATTCGACTCGACGACGACTACCCGCGATAATCATAATTATAAGAAAAGTTAAAAATTTAAGCATACCTAATTTATATTTAATACCTGACTAACTTTTTCGTCCGCTCAGTATAATGACGGCTGGTACCTAAATATAGTTCGATGCAACTAGCCCGGACATATGTATAAGTTCAGTTTTTGGGATACAATCTATCATTATATGTCCTTTCTTGAGTTTGAACTATCTCTGTAGGTATCAAATTTCACCCAAATCGTTTTTGTAGGTTAGGCGTGAAGAAGAAACACACACAAAGAGCGACGGATACAGTTACTGTTGCATGAAGAAATTAAAATGAAAGTAGTTATGAATTTTCATTTTCAGATACGCTCCAAAGCGACATAATAATAATAGATATATTAACAAACACATGTTTTTTGTTTCCCAAAATTACGTCGTGACAAGGGTCGCGGTTTCGCCGTAGTGCGCACGGGGTTTACGTATATTGGCCAAAGTTTGTCGGTAGTTATGTACAACCATGAATACATATAACTGAGTTTTTTAAATATAAATAATAATCAAACTTACCATAACAAAACTGTATCCGATCCATAGTTCAGCCCACCCTGATGGACACTCGGGGATACTGTTCGATTGACTGTGAACAGCAATGACATTAGCTGGTGCTTCACAGACGACACACCTTGAAATATACTTTATTATATCATTTCCTTGCACTGGATTCATAGGAGTTTCTTCATTAGTTGAAAGCCAGTAACTTCGATCATTTCGACTGGCATAGTTGCATACTTCGTTCAGGTCACAGAAAAGGAAGGGCATTGTACTGAATTTTCTTACACATGAGCCAGCATGTCCCAAATCTTGACTATGCGCTTTTTCGTTGCCGTCTATATAGAGTAAAGAATATCCATCCCATAGTTTTATCAATCCCTCTGGACAATCATATACATTACTTCCTTGACTGTGTCGTACTACAAGGATTCCAGTTAGATAGTCAGTTTCTACACAAGGAGCTCCAGGCGGTCCAGGAAGTCCCACTTGTCCAGTTAAACCGATCTCACCTCTTTCACCTTGTAAACCTTGTAAACCTGGTGGACCGACAGGACCAGGCGGACCAGGTCGTCCTTGGTATCCACGATCTCCTTTCATACCTGGTAATCCATCTATGCCTGGAGGACAAGGCAAACCATCATTACCCGGTATTCCATCCGCACCAGGTAATCCAGGAGGTCCAGGCTCGCCTTTAGGTCCAAATATAAAGCCAGCGGCTTCACCTTTATCACCTTTCTCGCCTTGACTTCCAGCTACACCAAATACTCCAGGGAATCCTCTTTCACCTTTCTCTCCCATAGGACCCATAGGGCCTGGTTGTCCATCTCGTCCATTAAAGCCGCGGTCACCTTTATCACCCTTTTCTCCTACCATACCCGTCTCACCTGGAAAACCTTGATCTCCTTTCTGTCCTTCATAACCGATTCCTGTAGCACCTTTCTCGCCTCTATCACCCTTTTCTCCTTGTGGACCAGGAGCACCTTGGAATCCTGGAGTTCCATCAAAGCCTGGTGGACCTGCCACACCTTCTCGACCACGATCTCCTTTTTGTCCTTGTGGTCCTACTGTACCCGGTAGTCCAGCTGGTCCAACTTGTCCAGGAAGACCAGGAAGGCCTTGCTCTCCCTTTTCTCCAATTGCGCCAGGTGGCCCTGGTCGACCATGTTTTCCAGGAATTCCTGGTAATCCTTTTTCGCCAACTATTGTCACTCCTGGTATACCAGTTGGCCCAGCAGGACCGCGATCACCTGTAAATTATTAAAAAAAATATATTTAGTATTTGGTTACTTATCTACGTACATGTCAAGATATTAGTTTAAAAAACTGAAGACAGTCGTCTTTTCAGGAAAAGTAACAACCATTGAGCACAGGAAGAGAAGTTTTTTTTAAATAATTTTCTAAATATTTAAGGCATCAATTAGAAGTTAAAACAAGAATATCATCAATTTTACATTTAATTTGCAGTTAATATTGAAACAACTTTTTGGCATTTTTGGCGCTTACGATGTTCTTCCTGAAAAGGCTCGATTTGTCACCGTCATCAAGATAAATTAACCTAACTAATGAACTCTAATTCAGTATTTTTAGTAGCAAGTAGTCCAAGGATGATCAACCACCTATCAATTTGATCATCAGACCAGATAGTGTGAGTATCATAACGTTCTAATCTACATATAATTCGGATACTTAGATTTTATTACATAGTTCATTCCAGGTTAACCTAATAAAAGCGTGTTATAAACAATCAAACATACCTTTCTCTCCCGTAAGACCGATTCTTCCCTTATCTCCTTTCTGGCCTATGTAACCACGATCTCCTTTTTCACCTTGTAATCCTGGTAATCCTCTATCGCCCATGTCTCCTTTTTCTCCAGTCAAACCTACTAATCCTGGCGGACCAATTTCTCCCTTTTCTCCTTTTTCATTGATTGATACACCAGGAAGACCCTGGTCTCCTTTTTCTCCAGTTAAACCAGGGACACCTATGGGTCCTACAGGACCTGTTAGACCTCGTGGACCTGGTTTCCCATCAAATCCATCTCTTCCCGGTGCACCAGGATTACCTTTATCGCCTTTGATTCCATTAAAACCAGGTAGACCTACGTCTCCTTTTATACCAGGAGGACCATCCATCCCAGGTAATCCAGGTTGACCTGGTTCACCTGGAATACCCATCAATCCCTTGTCTCCCTTAATTCCACTAAAACCTCGATCTCCTCTTTCTCCTGGTGCACCTGGTAGTCCATCTAATCCAGGTGCGCCTATATCACCTTTTTCTCCCCTTACACCCGGAAGTCCATAACCTGGCCTACCTGATTCACCTCTGTCACCTTTTGCTCCTGGTACACCTGGTATACCATCCAAACCTCGAAGACCTGGAACACCGCTATCACCCTTATCACCCTTTTCAGATGCTAATCCAGGTGAACCTTTTTCTCCAACTAATCCTGGAAATCCTCTATCTCCCTTTTCACCAGTTGGTCCAGATTTACCTGGTGAACCAGGCCGCCCATCAAAACCTCTATCACCTTTAGCGCCATCGCGGCCAGCGGGGCCCATAGGGCCATCGAGACCAGGCAAACCTGTTGGTCCAGTAAAACCACGTTCTCCCTTTTCACCTTTTTCTCCAGGTGCCCCAGGAATACCTTGAATACCATTTCGGCCTGGACGACCACGGCTACCAGGGAATCCTTTTTGGCCTGGCATTCCTTGCAGTCCTGGTTCGCCTTTAGGTCCTGGTAACCCTATTACTCCAGGTTTTCCTTCTGGTCCTGGATAGCCCTGTTCGCCTTTAGCCCCATCTATTCCAGGAGCACCGGGTCTTCCAGCTATTCCGGGTGGCCCTAGTGGACCTGGCTCTCCCTTTTGTCCTGGGGGACCAGCATAACCAGGTCGTCCCATAATACCTTGATCACCTTTTTCTCCAGTTAGCCCCATAGCACCAGGAAGACCGTCAGCGCCTGGCGTACCAGGTACTCCTCTGTTACCCTTGTCACCCTTTGCACCAGGAAAACCAGAAGGACCAGGTGGTCCGGGCATGGATAGACCAAGTTCACCTTTATCACCTTTAAAACCTGGGTTACCAGGGTAACCTCTGGGTCCCGTTTCTCCAGGGGATCCAGGGAAACCTATAGGTCCCACATCTCCTTTATCTCCTCTTTCTCCTGGTATTCCCCGAGGACCCACTGGACCTTGCTTTCCAGGGAAGCCCATTTCACCTTTAAGTCCAGGACGTCCTGCATAACCTTTATCACCCTTTTCTCCTCTTTCACCTGGAATAAAATAAATTAATATCAAAGCATAGTTTTGAACACACGCGAACGCACATACCACTGATTCATACTGCGATTTTGAATATATTTATTATGGTTTATGGCAATAGGCGTATCTGCTACATGGGACTAATAACACACTGGCGAAAAGTGAGAGAGCACGTGCACTATGTTGTATGTACGTGCCATTATGCGTCATTGTGTGCACTCTGCCTGATTCGGGGATAAAAGACGCATAAAAAAGATGCATCTACTTATTTAAATGTAGTCTTAAAGGCGAAGATATTAATATTTACTATTTATGACTTTATCAAGCTATTCCAAACCAAAATGACAGTTTACCTGGCATTCCTTGAGGACCAGGTGCTCCTGTTGCGCCTGGGTCACCTCTAGTTAGAGCTTCCAAATTCGCTGGGCATTGACCAGCATCTCCTTTAATACCCATTCTACCTGGGAATCCTTTATCTCCTTTTTGCCCTGTACTACCCGGTTCACCTTTTTCTCCCCTGATTGAAATTCCATCTTTACCAGGTATACCTGGGTTTCCGTCAGACCCTGGAGTTCCATCATTTCCTGGAGGACCCATCAGTCCATGATCTCCTTTCTGTCCCGGCATACCAATTGGACCTTGATTTCCTTTGAACCCTAACATCCCTTTTTCTCCCTTTGGTCCAGGAGGACCAGGAGGTCCCCTTTTACCTTGTGGTCCAGGCTGTCCTTTCAAGAGGTTTAATACAATTTGTGCATCAGCTCCTCTTTCACCTGGTGGTCCAATGGGTCCATCATCACCTCGTTCACCCTGTTCCAAATATTGCCAATAAAGTTGACTATCAGAAACAACATTCAATACAAAAATGTGACTTAAAAATTATGAACTCACCGGAGCTCCTGCTTCTCCTGGCATACCATTAAGACCGTCAGCTCCTCTCTCGCCTGTTAGTCCTGGAGGTCCTGGTTGCCCTGGATCTCCAACTGCACCCGGATATCCATCTAGACCGCGATCTCCTTTCTGTCCAGGTCCTCCAGGCCTACAGTCATTGCATCGTCCGCCTATGTCTCCTTTAGATCCTGGGCTACCAGGTATCCCATCAAAACCTGGACTTCCTTTCTCACCCTTTTCTCCTGGTGGTCCAACTTCTCCTGGACTACCAGCAGTACCTAAAGTAGAGTTACCAGGAAGACCACGTAATCCATGGTAACCTCTTTCACCTTTTTGACCTTTCGCACCAGGTATACCATTTAATCCACTCTCTCCTTTTCGACCCTGAAATCAAATTGTCGATGTTATTGTATTTTATTTATACTTAAATGTGTGTTTGGTTTCACTTGTACATTTTTTTTTGTTTCAATAAGAATTTCATATAAGAAATTCATCAGAAAAGAAATACCAACCATATAGTACAACTAAAATTATACTTACTGGTATAGAAATACCATCTTCTCCTTTGGGACCTCTTGCGCCCGTTGGCCCTTGAGGTCCATCATAACCTCGTGGACCAACATCGCCTTGTTTTCCTAATGGTCCAGGTTCACCTTTTTCACCTTTGGGTCCAGCTCTTCCTTCAAGACCTGGTGCACCAGGTTCACCTTGTCCTCCTGGAGGTCCCATTGGTCCCATATCACCTTTTTCTCCAGATAACCCATCAGTTCCCCTAGGTCCAGGTCTACCTTGATAGCCTCTAGGACCTGGTGGACCAGGTGGTCCACGTGATCCAGTACGACCGCCAGCCGGACCAGGAATACCTTTTAAACCTCTTGGTCCTTGTAATCCATCTTTTCCAGGTTCTCCTTTACTTCCAGGCCTTCCATCTAGACCTGGCAATCCATCGTTACCTCTATCTCCCTTTTGTCCTCTTGGTCCTGGATTGCCATACGGTCCGTCTCGGCCCTTAACAGATAAAATAAATTGAATTAATATTGTCTGTATTGTTTTTACCCCTATCGTTCTTTTTTATAAAAATAAACATTTTCCCCAACGTACAGTATTTGTAAATTGTTATTTTATAAAAGAGAATAATGAACAATAAATACGTACTCGTTCACCGGGGTTGCCGATTATTCCTTTTTCTCCTTTAATACCCATCTGTCCAGGACGTCCTGCCTCTCCCATAATTCCAGTATCACCTTTGTCGCCCATTGGACCAGGTTCTCCTTTATCGCCTTTAGGCCCCATATCACCTTGGATTCCTTTTATAGCACCCTTATCGTCCGGGTGCCAGGGCAATGTTACAGGCGGACAGCTCGGACCTCTGTCACCTGGGTCACCGCGGTCTCCTTTATCACCCTGGATTGCCGCACCTTTAGTACCTTTTGAACCTTTGTCTCCTTTAGGACCAGGCGGACCCTAAAAATATTATACCATAATATTAATTTAGAATTTGATCAATGTCGTTGTGTTCGCTTGTTGTTTTGGGCATTCAAATAATCTCTCAAATGATTACCAATGGTTTACTTTAAATTCTACTTACCATAGGGCCAGTGGCACCTTTAGACCCTGGTACGCCACCAGGACCCGATGGTCCTATAGGACCGGGTCTTCCTTGCATTCCATCAGCACCTGGTTCTCCTTTTTGCCCTTTTTGGTTTCGTCCTGTGTAGGCTGGTACTCCTTTGTCACCTTTTTCTCCTTTAGGACCAGGGAAACCTCGAGGTCCTTGCATACCTTGTGGTCCACGTTCTCCAGGTTCTCCCTAAAGTAAAATAAAATTTCTGTTTTTTTATTCTTAAATATATGAATATCCGTTCAGATTCATATTTATGTTAATACTTTCGTGAAACATACTAAATTAATTACACACACACACGACAGTAGCAGCGTGACGGCCGCTGCGTCGCGGGTCGCTGCTCATGAGTATGAGCCTCTAGCATTGCTTGACACTAGTCGAGGTCCTCGTCAAATAATTACTTGAGTAATTGCCGAAGAACATAATCACTAAATTCATATTTATTACAATTTAATACCAATATTCATTATATATATATTATTATTTATTTATCAATCATTACTTTTCATAATAATTATATCGAATAAATAGTTAAATAACTTAAAAACTTTAAGTTGTTACAAGGCCTTGTACCTATGAATACATATTTACATACATTATATTATTGAATGTATTTTCGTGCCAGTCCTTTTGTAAAATAAATACATTTGCTTTCCTTAAAAATTAAATGCCTGTTAGTCCGACATTTCTCAAGATTTAAACAAAAAATAAAGGTGGAAATTAACGACAGAGGACATTATCCGGTTTTCATCTAAAAATCATTATTAATACTATGGCAATTGAATTTGAATCCAAAATCCTATTTCTTTCAATAAATCTAATATATAAAAATCTAAATAAAACATCAACAATAATATAAGAAGAAGAATCTAAATGAAACATTAAAAATTGACAAAAATATTTCCTTCACCTTGGTTAAGTACTCGCACCACATCGAATGTAAGATCACCGACTGAAGGATCATCGTTAACGCAACTACTAGTCCACCTTGGTTAACTAATCGTAAATAAAAGTCACAATATATAACTACAAAAATATAATGTACTACTATTATAGTAGTAATACTTACATCTGTCCCGTTGCAACCATCTCTACCCGGTATACCAGGCAAACCTGGTTCACCTTGAGGACCAGAAGGACCTATTCTGCCAACGAAACCTCTTTCACCTGGCTTTCCTCTATCTCCTTTTGGTCCTCGAGGTCCTGGATTTCCCATTTGACCCTTTTGTCCCTTAGGACCTTGTGGTCCTTCGGGTCCTTCATGACCAGGAAATCCTTGACTTCCCGGAGGTCCAGCTACACCCGGAAATCCCTGAAAATCATTGAAAGTATGTAGCACATACAAAATATAATGGATAGTTCATGCTTCTTGATCTACCTACCTAACCTAACATAACTAATAAAAAACGAACATTCATTGAAATATTAGAAAAAGCCTAATTAAATTTAAAACTTGAATAAAAGAAAAGGCTTTTCGACGATGTTCGTAAAAAAACGAATACTCCTATACCTACTCATAATTATTAATTATTTGTGCATTCATGTTTGTCACGAATCTGTTCTTTACGAACCGCACAAATATCACACGACGAACAAGTCGAACAACACAACATTCGAACCTACGACACAATTGAAGGAAGTTCGAACGAAGTTGATATATTTTATACATTTTTGATTCAACTCCTGTACTCATATCCTAACTCCGTATTAATTATCTTGTTACATTTGAAGTTAATCGTATTGTAAACTGTTACCTGTATTACTTCGATAGGTACTAACTTAATTTAATTAAGCCAATAATTTTTAGTTTTATAAGCAATGTTATTGTACTATAACTATATCAGCACATTTTTAACCTGAAACATAGGCTTGTAGGTACCTAGTTCAGGTTTTATATAAACTTAGACTTTCTTTAGGTAATAAAATTTATATTTTAGTCTGGCTTTTTACACTAAATAAACATTATTAATTATTATTATTATATTATATTAGCTTCTGCCAGCGGCTACGCCCGCGTTCCCGGGATAGAATTTACTCCAAGTGTCATTGATTCCATTTATAATATTAGTAGAAAGAATTTACCCTGCTTCCTTTTTCGGCCAGGCATTTTCGCACACAGCATCCAGGTGCTGTACAGTTTCGGTCGATAGGTGCAACCCGTTGTTTGGTTTCAGGATCGTAATAGGCGAAGTTGAGACCTCTACTGCTCGGCGGCGGAAGTGGCGGGATATCTTCCCGGTTGTACAATCCATGTGTTACACGTTCGGATGGGTAAACGTTTTCTTCTCTCCTAACATCGGTCGGCCATTCATTTGGTACTGCATTATTCCAATCTCCATACCCATCGTATTGCTGCAACATTTGAAATAACCCATTAAAGCTTAGATTAATTTAAAGATTTAGGTACCTACTTTTCAATAATAGGACGAAGTAACAGTTCAACTTAGCGGTAGTCATTAAATATCTAAACGTGTCATAATGACCCGTAAGAGGTGCGCATATCTACATACAATTTACAACACCTAGATTTTATCGAAACCACTCATTGATATGTTACCTAATCTGTCCTAGAGAGAAATATAGGTACTATTCGAATATTGCATGTAAGTATTGGTCATAATCGAGCTTATGCATACACCATTTGCCATAGAAAGCCTAGAGATGAATTTTATGTAATAAAACGAATCTCTGGGATTTGGTGTAACACATAAATGAAAATTATATCACACTAGTTGTTGCCCGCGACTTCGTCCACGTAGAATATGATTCCTATTTTATCCCATGTGTAAAAGTGTTCTGTATCACTTAAGTTAGCCCATACCTTGCCTGTATACCAAATTTCATCAAAATCCGTTCAGTAGTTTCAGCGTGATTGACGGACAAACATGCAAACATCAAAATAAAGAAACTTTCACATCTATAATATGAACGTGAGTAGTGTGATAGATTGATGTTTATTCAAACGGTTGTTTCACAATGTCTGTTAGGTATCCAATATATTACTTAATTTTTAATAATTCTCACTCATAAAACCATTTTTTAGTTCAAACTTCATTATTTATTAAACCTAATTTGATAAGTAATTATTTTTAATATTCTCGATAATACGCATATCTCGCACTTTGACCTAAGTAGGTACCTACACATGTATACGTACGACACACGATCTGTCGTCGTGTCAGCTTTTCAGCGGTAAGCTGATATTTTTATACTTTTCGTCACTGGTGGTTGCGTCATAGCATAATGGGTACCTAACTAATACTAAGTATTGTATATTTTAGTTTACAAAATACACCTTCCTACTAATATTTATATAATTTAAGATTGCATATTTTTTCAACACTAGGTCTTTCGTTTGGGTTCGTTTACAAAGCTACAAATTCACATACACATAACACCCAGACCCGGAACAACAACTTGTTGATCACACAAATACATAGTTGTTCCGTACAGGAATCGAACCCAACGCGCCACGTGACACCGCTGCCGGTTATCCGGTCACTGCGCCAACCGTGCAGTACATTCGTACAAATATTACATTCTTAAATGAGAAAAACTTCAAAATTATTGAATATAATACTTGTTTATAGGTCAAGTAGCTTGGTTTGTGATGATATTAATATTATCTATGCATACGTTGATAAGTACTTAAAATGTTAGTATAACGAGCTTTAACGTTTTTATGAGGAATAGCCTCGTAGCTCTCGTAGCTCGCGCTGCTACGCCGCCGATTTACGCCGACAAACTCTAAACGCCGATTTAAGTAAATAAAAAATATTGTACTGATGAATGTCGCAGTATAGAAGACGATTGTACTAATATTATTTGTATTTTTATTGTTTTTTTCCGTCGGTATATTTATTTTTTTAAAACACATCGGATAAATAGGCGAATATCTAAGCAAAACCGGGTTGAGCCATTAAGAACGAAAATATTAAATGATTTGTAAGAAATAGTAAAAATTACTTAGGTATATAGATTTTTTATTAGCAGTTAATTGTTACAAATATGCATTGAAGGTTATTAATTTTGCTAAAATCAACGTAATGAAAAACCATAAACGTGTTTTCATTTCCTATTTAAATTGATGACCCTTTCCAAAGACAATAAGATATAAATCAAATGATGTTTAAAATAATAATATACCTAGGTACATTTTCACAAAAACAAAGTATGTCATATACCTAACTATAGGAAACAGTAGGTTTGCGCAATACCGACGAACTGCATCCGAGCGATGATAAACTTTGTCGGTCTTCCATTTACTATGTTACAGATATTTATGTAATAATGTATGCTAAGAAGCTGCTGCTGTGTCTCTATGTATCAAGACCGATGCAATAATTTATTTTAATTTAATATTCTCCGTTTGTTAAAATATGTATTTTTATTTTATCACCTGCACGTTTACAGTTTTTGTTCAAAGCTCAATATATCGTTAGCATTTTGGAGAAATTGCAAAAAGACGAGTTGAAGCAGACAGGCGAGTCAACCCGCTTGCCGCCGCCGCGCGCCCTCGCGGTCCCACTGTCTCGCAACATTCCCAAATTCCACTCATGTTTTAATCACTTATAAACAACTAAATAAAAATGATAGAAAATATACTTACCGCATTTACACTTAGAAGCGGTGCTAACGCAGCTAACAACCTATTTGAAAAGAAAAAAAAAACTTCAAGAAAAATAAATATTTAAGGAATATATTCAAATTGCAAAAAATATTGCAAATTAAATCTACAATGTAAAATGACAAAAAATTTAAATCTTTAATAATTGGCGATAATATTAATGAAAATCTAGAATGAGGTATTGAAACTAAGTTAGCTATGTATTTGGAAATCTTACCATAGCACGGACACCGCCATAGCCCGGAGCGCGCTGCGCCAGAATCCCGTGCGCGCGCGCCGTTTGTGCCGGGATACTAAAGGATAGAGGAGTGCTCGGGCAGCAGTCTGATCACCCCCGCCCCGCGGAGGCGCGGGTGCCGGGCGCGGCGCCTGCGGCCCCGGACAGCCCGCGAGGGCGCGCATCCAGTAGTGGCGGCGCAGCCATGTCGGGCCCGGCGCGTGCGCGTTTCATCGCGCTACATCTCGTGCCCGCCACACTTCTACTCCTTTCATGGACTCCTACTCCTTCATCAGCAGTAAGTACAATCCACGGACTTATTTAAATTATATCTAACGCGTATTTGTTATTGTTAAGCACCTGTAATTATTTAAGTTCGCCAAAAAGACATCAACGCGCTGAGGCAAATCAAAGTTACGAGTAGATAATTCAATGTAAACTTATATTTATTTATTTATGTATGTCTATCAGTGGTATCTTTAATTGGTTATATTCAGTGTTCATTTTAAATGTTCAGTGCTGTAATAACACCACATTGTGTAAAATAATGCTATGTACATGACACCTTAACTTTTTATATATATTTCATGACATGTTTACCAAACAAAAAAAGGGATATTAATTGATTATAACTAAATTTGCTAACTATAATTATTTCTCTGAGTCCTATAGGCATTCGCCTATTTGACGGAATAATTTATTTACGTACTTGTTAAGAACAAAAGTAAATTGCCTGCAGGTGTATAGGTAGAGACGTAACGTTTACTTTTTCACACGCATGCACATGACTTGCACAGGAAGTGGTTAGTTTCAGGAACAGAGATAGATAACATTCATATTATAATAGGTAATATTATGTTGAATTTATAACTATGTATATTATTTCTATTACAATACTAACATTATTTGAATTCATAGCCTTTACAAGTTGAGTGTATAAAATGTTGAATGAAATATTTTTTTACTTACGGGAACTATAATCCTCCAATCAGGTTGCTCATTCCATAGTGAAGTTTTCTTGGGTGTTTTTTTTATTATACACGAATTAACCTTAATACTTTTTTAATACAGAAATACATTAATTTTATGTCTCTTACCACATTTTAAGTATAGGAACTTTAGGCTCCGTGCCTGATGAAATATTACTTATTTACTATATTGTGTTAGTTTGACTGCCGTAATGAAAAATAAAATGGTAGATATAGGTACCCAAACTAACAGCCTGACGAAAAAGAGGGATATTTTAATTATTTTAACCTACATATCTGCGTGTCTGTGTGTGGCAATCTAGCTCTTGAATTAATGAACAGATTTGAGTGTGTATTTTTAATCGAAAGCCTTGTTCACTATGGTGAATCTGCATTTTTTTAACTACTTACTATATCATATAGTTATACGTTTACTTACAAGCCTCTTTCGTCAATATTGATATCATTTTTGAAAGAGACAAATGTAAACTCAGATTAGGCGTATTTTTTTTTATTTTTTACTCCTATGATTGAGGCGTGGTGGTAGGTAACTAGGTATAGGTAACAAATGTAATGACAGTTCATCGGACTGATTAGACACCAACACAATTGATTATAGTTATCAGACATTCTCAGATCAAATAGACAGACTAGCAGTGAAGTCTGGACTGCTTCCCATTTTAATGCAAATTCTAATTATTTTTTTATAAAGGGAGATCAAGTTAGAGTTCAGTGTTGCAGCAACTTCACCCTTATTTACCCATGGTTACCTACATAACTAATTGAAATTGGGTATTAGATAGGTACATTCCACATGTGAGCCACCATAGCTATTTATTCCCCAAAAGGGATTTGCATGCCGTATATTAGTCAGTGTTATTTTACTTAAGGAAATCCTTATCAATATTCATCATATCATCATTATCATAATCATGATATCAGTCTTCTGCTGAACATAGGCCTCCCGCGATAACTTCTCTTACTTCCTTTCTCTGTTACTGTTTGTTTAAAGTTACCTATGTACCTATATAGAGGCTAGTAGTCAAACAAACAAGATGCCAAATTAAATAGACTTATGTCGAAATACTGAAACGCTACTCAATTTTAAGTCGTGCTTAAGTATAGTTCTATCCATTCTTTGTAAAATGACAGAGATAGCACAATATTTGAGCACGACTTACGTTTCAGTATTCCGGCATTTTGCCGACAAAAAAAATCATACAGATCTTTGTTAACCACTTGGCTGTTGGTATATGACACACATTAGGGATCGCAGTTAGATCTCCGCAAAAATTAAAGGGTGTTACCGTTAGCGCTGTTGCACATGATGTAGGTACAGAGAATCAATGAGACTATTTTTTATGTTAGGGACTTCTTATGCCTCCTTGACAATATAAACGGCTAGCAGCAATCAAGTAGGTAGTAGCTAGGTATATAGATAGGTATTTGCCAATCGAACCGCATTACACAGTGCGGCAGCTAATCTCTCAATTACTGAGCTATTAACAAACAATCTGAAACATTGAGGCAAAGATACAGTACCTATTATTACTTATAATTGGACATATTGAGGACTATCATTTAAATAAGATACAACAAGTAAACAAAGGACATTGCAGGATTTGAAAGTAAACAACTTTTTATTAACAGGACTTTGGACAAAAATGTTTTTTACTACAAGTCAAGTTGTAACTATACTTAAAAAAAAAATGTTAAACTTTTCAATTAGGGTTTTGTGCCTTATGAACAACACAGGACCAGCACTGCTATTCGGAAAGTTGGTTTTGCAAAGTCTCTCCTGAATCTGCGGTGATGTTATTAATACTACTCAAAACAATATAAGGTTCACCATCGTAAATTTCTTATATTTGTCTTAGAGCAACTCAAGAGCTGATAAGTAGTTACTAAAATAAAGCATTACTAACTTTTGAGATTCAGTAAGTCTAAACAATGCCTTAATACCTAGTCCAACGTCTGTTGTTAAAAACCAGAAACACATTAATGCTTTTTGATAAAAGCCTAAAAACAGGGTGCATGGCCCCTATTTTTTTGAGTAATATAGTTTCCTAGTCTGAAAACAAGTAAGTTCGATACTAGCGCCACCGGGTAATAATGGAATTTAGAAAAATGATGCCAGATGAGTATATTCATTTACAGAATGGCACTGCTTACTACCGCCGCGCCGGTATCTGTCACCAGACTGTATCTTAAGAGCCGTTATAGTTAGACAGTTAAAATTTTCATAGATGATAATTTTATACCAATACGAAAATCGTAGTCAAAAAACACGCTTTTAATCATAGTAAGTAATATTATTGTGCTTTCATTGTCAAGAGAAATGGATATATCGAATGGGCAGAAGCTCAATATGTTCATCGGCTCAGTCACCCTCCAATTCCATCGTCAGACCAGCTCCATAGTACCATAATATTGTATGGTCATCTAATCAAATAATATACATATTTGCTAACCAATACAACAATTAGAAGTGTATAATTCCGATTCATCATGTAGTTCGTCACAACTTACAAGTCGACCTAATAAAACGACTTAATAAGTACAGAACAAAATATTATTTGCTTTTGCTCGACATTGGCAACAGATACTCACTTAAAATATTCACATAATATTCAGGCATGTAAAATAAAATAAAAATTTACTTAATAAGGTCAGCATATGGCCGCTATCTATATTTAAAGAGGGCTTCCGTGAAACATGAAAAACATATAGGCATGGTTTATAATACTACTACCGGTAGAAACAAAGCAAAGGCAGGCTGCCTGGTCGTAATCAGTCATCCTAACTGAAATAGTTTCCTGCAATGCCAGTGGTCTCACAAGTTGCATTGCGGTCTAAAAATTCTTTAATCGAGCCATCAATTTCGGCAAGACCATCTCCCGAAAACGTGTAACTGAAGTAAACATAGGTAATTGAAATCATTTATTTAAATAATTGATCATGCTTGCATATAAGACTGTGTTAAGGTTTTTCAGTTCGATAAAACAAGAAATCAAACACTTTTATCTACAAACTTACGAAGTCTTTAGATCAATAGACCCTTAATCTGGCACAGTCACAAATGACATCGAGTTCTCAATTTCCTTTTCGATGCATTGTAAATTGTTATTTTATTATTGTGTTTATTTTAGTTTATATTATTTTGATGAAACAATACATCCAAACATAAAATTTAGAGATTTCAGATAGACAGACAGAGTTACTTTCGCATTTATAATATTAGTTAGGATTAGGAAATATTAATTAGGATTTAAGTAGGTATAGTATATATAGTAATTGCACAGCGCCATCTATGGTCAAATAGGTAAAACGTCTGCACAGTGAAAGTTATGCTAGGGACATTTTGCGTTTTAGTAATTTTATATTATCTCCGAAACTGTATGACCAATTGATATACTGTAAATGGCAAATCTTATCTGCATGATGTTCTTGTAATAATTTATTGCCATAAGAATTAATATTTTGTTGGTCAAACAATCATGCAAACGTAAGTATGCCAAAAAATAAAAAAAATTATGCAATAAAAGAAGTATAAAAGATAAAATAGAAAAGATAGAGATATGGTATCGCGGACTTTTTGTAGAAATAATTAAGACGAACCAGGAGACCTACATAGTTTTTAATTTTAAGCAACTGTTTAGGTAGCGCACGCTTAATAAACATAATACCGGCCTTATCCCTACGCCCCTCCCGCCTCGGCAATAGGTACTCACTTCGAAACGGGCCGTACAGAAAAAATCGTAATATTTTAATTTCCCATAACTTCAAAACCAAACATCCAATTTTAATCATTTAAAGACCGAGTACTTAGTGATGAAATAAAATATTTTGATAAGGATTAATAGCATGAGTGAAATAAATGTATTGAAATGTAGTCCAGAAAAAAATTCAAGATTTTTTCTTAAAAAATGCTAGTTGTGCCTTACTGGACCTAGATAGGTATAGTGTGTCGCGGACTTTTTTGTAGATATTTATAAGATCTACAATTAATAAGAACATTTTATGGTTCTATCTTTTATAGTTTAGGCAGCGCACGCAAATAATTCTTTTTTATGAGGATTTTTTTCCGACTTGCTAGGCAAAACTTGTTATAGCTCGGTAAATATACATGTTATAGAAACAATTTATAGCCTATAGCACTCAGGAATAATGCAGCTTTCTGCTGGTAAAAAAATTTTTAGGATTGGATTATTACTTCC